AATTCATGTATTTTGTTACGATTTAAATTCTTTAGCTTCTCTGTGATTATTACGTTGAGAAAACGACTTTCTTTGCAAGATTATCAGGGCTTTTTGATAATCCGATGGATCCGATTGATTCGTAGATCCATCAATGGTGAACATGCCGCCTTTTACTCAAGCTTCTTACTCAAACACAGATCATTAGCTCTCCATACTGAGACAAAGTTTTGGATAGGTGAGAAGGAAAGGAGGATAATGCAAGTATTAAGCTGGCATAGAGGCCGCTACAGGAAAAGGGGTAAGAGAACCATTTGCGAGGATATAGGTAGGTAAGTCGGAGCTTAGCCTGGTGACACAGTAAGCGGAACCGTGGCATGAAGCTTACCGGGGACTCTCCCGTAGTTGTTATAATGGGATCCGGCTAAATGCAAGCCGATTTTAACTCTTCGCTGCTACACTCGGCCAAGTTCAAGGCCATTGTCTTCGCTGCAAGAATGGAACGTCGTCGGCCAGCGGCCTTTGCGAAGCGCAGCATCACAGTGAGAATCGACGACACCCCCGTTGTGCAGTGTTACATCTTTTCTTTTCTTCTAGAGTCCCTTTGTTTCTGATCACCGCATCTTTCTTTACGAGTACGGTCTCGATCTGAGAATTGAGATTCAGCGAAAAATCTTTTAATATGTCTTCGCAGCTTTGTCGACTTGTTTTATATATTTTTTTTCCTTCATATTTTCATTCCTTCAGTATATTTTCATTTTATTTTAAAAACTTTTAAACAAGTATCATTAGAACAACTAATTTCTATTTTCACCAATGTTGATTAATTTTAATCGCGGTTCAACTTATTCTTCATTATTTTCTAGTTCTAAAAATTAGAAAAAGAGGAAAAGTAAATTGAACCGAGATAAAAATTAATCTAATTGTGAAAACCAGCATTAATCGTCCAAGCTGATATTAAATCTATAACACAGTTGCTGACGCTGATTCTGTGAGATTTGTTTAATTTATATTGATTAAAAAGCACTAATTAATTTGAAGGAACCAAAATAACATAATTAGTATAAAAAAAAGAAAGAATATTAAGTATATTTTAATAATAATTCAAATTTGCAGATGTAATATAAAGAATATAATTAACTGGATCTATAGATCCATCAGTTCCAAATAAAAAATTAATTGTTAATTTCTCTTATTTCTGAGAATTAATAAAAGTTTTTATATGATTACTTCTGTGAAATTATTTTTCACTGTTATGATGTAAGATACGATTTAACTATTGCGTCAAGACATGCTCTAGAGTGTTTTTCATGAGATAGATATCCTCTTTAAAGAGAAAATCGCGAAGGATTTGTGCCTCGATTATGCGAAAGGGTCATCAAAGCGCGCATGGGCAACGAGCGATTCGTTATAGCTCGTTAATTTGATGAGTTAGAAAGGATGCCGGATTACGTCGTCAAAAGGTAGACAGGTACGCGATCTGTCCAATTAGTTGACATATAAGGGCGGCTCTCGCTCTCCTTCATGCTTGCATGGGGTCCTTTGTGTTGTGATGTTTAGATCATTAGAAATACGCTTCTGATAGACACACCCTTTCATCATTGTTTGGTGAACGTATCCACCACAGAATCCATAATACCTGTGATTTTCTAATGGACCAAGAGAAGAAATAAATTTAGCAATCAATGATTACGATCGATGTATTTCCCTCCTTCTTGCAAGATCATGTGCATTCATGTACGTTACTAAAGAGCTCGTTATCTTTCTATTGGCTAATTATTAATACTTACGTTTTTTATGTATATATATGTAAATAATTAAATTAAGTGCATGACAGCGTTATATTATATACTTTAGATTTAGAGATGTCATATAGCTGGATTGTAGATCTTTTAATTTCAGAAATTAAGTGGATAAGAGAAAATTTTTTAATTGCTTTTATCTGTTCCGCAATGCATCCATGCACGTATTTTGCAAGGCAGAAAAATTAGACACCAGGGAATGCGTATGATATAGGAACGATGTTGCATCGCGATTACCTTGCGCAAGTTTGTAATTAATATAGGCTTAATGGTTCAAGATCGATATATATGCGACCGCTCAAATAACGAAGTGCGGTCGCTTTGACGTTAATTAATTTCAAGTGCATTAGCAGAATTGCAGCCCGCGGCGGTGGGGTCTTGCGAACATCAGTGTGATTAATAAGAACTGGGCTCGCGATCTATAAAGCTGCGAGGCCAAAATGGAAAGAGGGATTGCATATCGCGTGTTGGGAACTCTGTCACAGATATACAATTCAAAATATAATCCGCACGTCAGGCCGCATATGCGAGAAGCGATAGAGTTTCGATTTACTAAAACAAACGAGCAGTGCTCTCGATAGATATCTGTCGGAAATACTAGGAAGATTAAAGATAGAGGAAAGTAATTGACACCACTTATTAATAATATGCGATATTTTTTTTCTGATGTAGGAAGATCCCTTCGCACATGATAGAACAATCATGTATCTTACAAGAGATATACGTTTTATGTACATTTGCATCGTATTATTACAAAGTAGCTTAGATCTACGCGTGTCCATAATTATGATTTTATCGCCTTCCTATCATTAATCTTAATGATATTTTTTTTATTCTTTAATTATACATCGTCTAACGTAATGTTACAGGATAATATACATTAGATAGTATACACGAAATATACACTCACAATTAAGTAGGCATTCTCGCATATACTTCTGTTTTTTTATCAGAAAACACATTATGATAATTAAGTTATCGCGCGAAAAAGTGCAATGCGAACTTTTATAAAGTTTAAGTTCCCTCGAACAGACGAAGAGTACCATAGAAAGAAACGACTATATAACAAGATTCTGTAGGATGAGACAATTCTCACTTCATTATTATTCTCTCTCTCTCTCTCTCTCTCTCTCTCTCTCTCTCTCTCTCTCTCTCTCTCGCTCGCTCGCTCGATCGCTCGTTCGCTCTCTCCTTTCTCCTTCTTTTTCTAATATATAGAGATATCCTCGATATCCCGTGATAGAACTCTGAATGAGTTTTTATATCTCTTCTCTCTCGTATTTACGCGCAATCATATATTCATTATTAACTATTTACAAGAGTTTCTTGGCTACTATGGCCGTATTTGATATGGATAATTATCTATGTTAATCGTAATAATAAGGATAATACCAATGATAAAGACGGCAGTGATGAGTACTCGTCTTTTAATCTTAAAAATGCAAAGAATATCATAGATTAGATCTTAAAACAAATTCCGATGTGTGACGTGTACAAACTTTTTATGGAAAGTTTGATGACAATTTCCATGAATACAGCCTTTTATTTTTATTTACAAGGATAAGCTTGCTGTCTTGTTTCTTCTACTCTCTCTCGGAAATAAAATTCGACTTTCCCACTGGACTGACATCGTTTATCAAGTTGCACATTCGTAATTCACATTTATTGCTAAATCCGCTTATCTTCATTCAAATATATGTATAAAATATTTGCACTCAAAGTATGTCTTATTTAAGTAAAATTCAAATTCAGACAATCTAGAGTTCAGCGTTAAATATGAGCTACGAGTGTGAATTTTCGACGGAATTGTGACAAAAATATAAAAAGAGGAACAATAATTTTCGCCATTGAAGATATGCAATTTAATAAAAATTGCTTTTCGGCAAATGTGAATTAGGATTTTGGATTATCTGTATTCGACTTAGGATCGATTCCTAAGATTAATAAATGTTGTTTTATTGTTGGTAATATTAATTCAGAACAATAAACTTTCATGACATTGTTCAGTAATGACAGTGAAATATTACATTAAAGATATTTGTAAAGACTGATTGTTACATAATATTTTTGATCGTCTCAAAAATATATTTTACACATATTGTCCAATGCTGATTTTATTTAAAAGGATAAAAAATACGAGATAAAAATAATTTTAGCTGTCTCGTAATGAAAAATTATAGAAAGAAGAGAAATGGAAAAATGAACACTGTTGCTGAGCTAAATAACTGAATATTTGCATGTTGATTAATTAATATTTATATTTTGTGACCTATAAATATTACACAAAAAAATTAAAAAATATATTTAACATATCAACATGATGATACGAAATATTTTCTGGAATAAAATTGAAATTGTGATTAAAGAGAAAATTTTTTCTCTTCCAAAACAAGTTTATAATCTGTAAGTGAATTCATTAATGAAAAGATGACGTTTTCTTTATTAATAAATTTACAAAATAGCAATAAAAGTTAATTAGTTAAATAATATTTTGTAAAATTTTCTTTTTCATCTGTACAATGATGTTGATGAACGAAATTACATACTCGAAATTAAATATCGTGTATCTTGTAAATTACTAATTTTTCCATTTCACCATAATCTTTATGTATAGAACAATATATGAAAGTCGCTCGCCTAGAAAAATACTATTACAGAAATTAATTTAAGTAAAAAGGACATAATATATAATATATAATTTTATTTAAAAAATTACGCTTTGCTATAGATAAAAGAGATAGATTTCCCGCACAAATACTGTGAGATTCATCCTGTATATTTTTATAGTTTGTTTCTCAACTTTATTCGCATGTGCACGTGCGTTGTCTGAGAAGATTCTTTGAAACAATTATAAAATGATATCAAATTAAAATTAGATCACCATAAACATTATTGTTTTTTTAAGTTTAGTGAGATACATACGCAAGATTGTTGGTATTAGCTAATATATCTGTCGTCACAATCCATTCCGGATGCAGAAAGTTTGTGTGACTAATTCGCGCAATGGTTCGAATTATCATACCCATCAAGTCTGAAGCATATCTATTGTTGTTTTGGCGAAGTCCCTCTCCTGTATGATCAATTGTCGTCGGAATCCAGATTACCATTGATCTCGTGACAAATCGCCGTGTTCAGTCGCCAATGATAGGGCATCGAGGTGCCGGCCGTGCTCGCGGTTTCCTGACCTCGCTGAAAGATCCCGGAGGACCTGCTGGACCGCTATACTAATGGCGGATATTTCTGATCAGGCAGCACGTAACCGGCATCATCACCCGACGCGGCGGCAGCAGCAGCGACGGCAGCAGCAGCCGCTATATCGTTGCTAGTAGCTTGCGTCTGACTAGTCACTGGATTCAGGTGATGACTAGTCAGATGTGACATGGACGGGGTGAGCGTCATATTAGGATGATATTGCGGATGATGATAGTTAGTCTGCGGGCTATGGTGCATGTGGGGGATCTGAGCCTGATAATAATCGCCACCGTATACGCTCGAGGTTTGAGCGTAAGCATTGTAACCTTGACCGGCGTATTGGCTGTGGTTCACAGAAGCGGACCCTGCCGAGCTCCAACCGAAGCTGTAAGTCTCACCATGATGAATTTGATTCATCGCACTTGGATAGGACGATGGCTGCAGTTGGTTGGAGCTCGGTGTCAGCGGCGGCGACGGGGTCGTTAGATTGCTGTTGGCCCCGCTGCCACCGGTTGGCGTCGTTCCAACATTTCGAGGATACGTCGATTGAGTCGACAGGAGCGGGGTCGACAAAGGTGAGTTTCCTGCTACTGGTGCGTCCCTACCTTGCACCGGTGAATCTGGAGAAGATCGCCTACTAGGTGTCGTCGACGAGCTCGTCGATATCCTGCTTCCGGTGCTGCTGTTGCTGTGATTCTGATTTGATCTGGGTGAACCCTTCGATGGAGGGGTCTGCTGTTGCTGTTGCTGCTGCTGCTGCTGTTGTTGATGTTGTTGTAATTGTTGTCTGCATTTGGCTCGACGATTCTTGAACCAAACCTGAAACAAAAAACCGCAAAGATGCTATGAAATTATGAACGAGTTTATGAACACAATTATCAGCGATTTTTAAGATATCTTTATAATATTTTATTATTTTATGGATATCCAAAAACATCGTAGTTTGAAATTAATTAAATTCCCCGATAACTATCATACGATATCGGCACACATTTCAACAAAGTACAAAGTCTCCAACAGAAGCAGCAACCCCAGGGATTGTCGAAGAGGAAAGATGTCCCAGTGTCCCGCTACGAGAGACGAGACCGATCGAATGGGGAGTTAATCGGTGCAATGGGAAAGTAATCGCGGGCGAGCGGGCGTAACATTTCATTAAATCGCAACAATAACAAGGATCCGAAGGGAGGAGCCGTACGGGGGAGCGCGTGTACGAGCGCGACGTCCCGTCACGCGTGTATTGGAGCATCCCCTGGGATCCTCGGTGGCCACGGTGTTCGCCGGAACGCATGCGCGAATCAGAGCTCGTCGTAGGGTTGTTTTCATCCCTGAGATCGAATAGTTTGGTTTTGCTTGTATGTACGCGAGTAGAGTGCGCGTATATATATCTTGTGCGTGAATACGCGCACACGTATAAACTTTTCGTCCATAGTTACACATTACGATTACAAACGGGACACGTATACACATATACGCATGACTATCTGAAAGATGCGCACATCTACGTAGGTTTTTCTCTCCGGAAAAGGAACGATAGAGAAACCAGAGAGAGGGGACAAAAAGCAACCCCTCGTAGGCCGCAAGCTCGCGAATGCGTTGTGATTTACCCCTCCTTCCCTTCGCCTTCTTCGTCCCCCGTAATACTCCCCCTCACGTAACCCCCTATAATCCTGCAGGGGCACAATGTGGCCAGGGGTGCGATCCTATGAATCTATGCCCGCGCCTTTAAAAGCAGGACCCGTCGTCGTTGTTGTTATTATCGGCGGCATTGTAACAGTTGTTACAGAGAGCGCGAATCACTGAAGCGTATGAGGTATGAGGGATTTTGAGCTGCACGCCCGTGCATATTCGCCGATCGAGACAGAAGCCACGCGCAATCCTTTCGTCTTTTATCTTGAAACGTGTCGAAATAATAAACGGAAACTTTAATCGCTCACCGAGCCATCTCATATACTGTTTATATTAGAAAAATATTCTGTCAA